ATATCATTTTCTCACAAAGATGTACCAATTTTTTTTCATTTCCATTGTATAAAATATGAGTATATTTTGTCTTATTTGAAAACATCCAAAATACTTGAAGTCGAAAGCAAATGTCATCGTTCAATCTCCAATCTTATAACTGAATATTTTGTCAAGTAAGTCACATTAAGTGCTAATTGTAACAAAAGAATGTTTAGCTTCGTTTCATTTAGCATAATTCTCTGAAGACGATGAATACAATCAAGATACCTAATAAATTTCAACTGTGTCACAAGGAGAACAGTTTGATTTTGAGACAAAGAAACCAAACATTATCGAGTACCAGAATCCATGTACTGCGTTTTTTTCAAGTAATTTTCTCAATTTTTCAATCAGCTTTTGAACCTCTCATCTTTGCGGTAATTATATAAGCGTTACCTTCTCAGATAAAATTTCATAATTCGGAAAGTTATCGATTGATAACAAGATGAAACATGTAATCAATTATATAGACTTCTTTTCTGCTACAGAAAGAAATAAAAAGTAAGAGAGAAGAATCAATTGTAATTTCATGAATGACAAGTTCACTAGACAACGGATGTTCATCGATAGAAAGTCTAATTTTATTGGGTTCATTCATGAAGTTTTCTCTCTTTTGAAACTTATACATTTAAAACAGACATCCGATATACGACTTAAATGGTACACATATTCATCTCTGTCAGTTATAAAAAGACACTAAAATATAGAAGTCGGTAGTGATGATGTTTGTAGGTTTGATCGGATCACAAATTTGCACTTCTTCGTTGAATAAAAGAATGTTCACGGCAATAACTCGAAACTGATGCTTTTTTTATAATGCCATGAGTGATATGTTATCATAGTTACAATGGAAACCTTTCCCTATAAACGACAAATCACTTATCAAACTATTTCATGAAAGTTGTCAAATCTGAAATAGATATCCTCATACAATAGCCACTGTATTGACTGGGCCTTTCTTAAAGAGGATGAAAGATGTCTACAAAAAAGATTCTACATCGGTCACTATCTGACATTTTATTCGAGTGGCTAGAAATTTACCTAGTTGCTTTGCCATGGAACGTTGAACGAATGTTATTGACAGATAAATGGCTAACGAAAGACTGAATAGAATCAGAATACTACAGATAAGTAGAATCCATTCACGAGTGTTCAAAGGTCGTTTGAATATCCAATGAGTCCATCGAGATTCATGCATGTGCTTTTTCATTTTGCTATGCACAGGTAGTAATGAACTTGGCGGTTTGCTTTCAAGATTTAGATCTGTAGTCGAGGTCGAATGATCTACAGTCGAATTTGGATCGGATGGGATACGCATCAATCCTGAAATAGAATTTTTAACCGTAAACAAAGTAAAGCCTTCTATTGATACGAACTGCCTGAAGCCATCTTATCCTCATCTTCGTTGTCAAATAAAAGAATATCTTGAAGTGAGCAACTTCGTTGACTAAAATGTTCCAATGCTAACTGATATTCTGAAAAAAATCATAAAAAGTTCTTTAAATGTGAATCTTTATAAGGAATAGAAGAAACGAACCTTGAAGCCGTTTCGCAGCATCATTACAATGTATTTTCTTGAATGCTTTAATAAGATAATCACAATCTTGATTGCTAATTATTGCCTTTTCGAAAAGAGACTCTAGTGCACGAAGTGTTCCACTAAGTGAAGGATCATCGCGCATATATCTGGGGATGTCTTCGCCAAGAAGAAAAAGAAAACGATGTCGATCATTGTCGGAAAAAATATCTTGTATTTTGAGCAGCAATGCTCGAAAATCAAACTCTCCACTCATTTAATAAAAGAAAATCACTTTCTATAAAATAGTAATATAACATCTATTTATATATTTTTTACTGAGATTGATTATTCATCTATGTCTACAATGCATACAGCATGTATAAGACGAGGCTACATAATGTGCAAGAGAAAATTGGTAGAAGAATATATGATACTATTTTGTGTAGGTTTTGTATTTTGTTGAACGTGAGTTCAATTTTATTTCAATAATGAAGAAGAAAGCACGAAAGAAGGAAAGAATCAAGAAGAGAATGAAAGCGTGAAAGAATTGAAAAGAAGAGAATGCCAGCAATAACCATTCTGAGTATGAATCGAAGAAATATATATGTGTATATATGATGATAACACTATCACGTATTATAAGCTATGCAATAGAAAAATTGATGTGGACAAAGAATAAAAAAGAGCAAGGTTAATATCGATGTTTATTGACTGTGAGAAAATGGAAACGAACGAACAATATCAAGTGAGCAAGAAGAAATAAGAACAAATACATATAAGACACAGAAGAAGAAAAGTAACATGCACATATATAGTTCATAAGGAAGAATATTTCCTTAACATCTTCCCTCTTAAGATATTTACTAAGGTAAATAACGATCAGGTGGTTTTCGATTTCGACGAGGACGATACTTCGGTGAGGATGAATGTGAAAAATCAGGAGTCTTTGATTGCGATTTAGTATTTAATAAATCATCAGGTAGACTGCCTATTTCGGATGATTGAGCATTTGAAGAAGAACGAGGACGAAGTTGATTTTGATGACGTTTACAACATTGTCCATCAGGTAATTGAATCTCGTAAATCATTGAACTGATATTTTTTTGTAATGATTACCTGTTTCCATTGGAGTCGTTTGTTAAGTTGATGCTTCACTGTCCAAACTCATTGACCAACAGCATATTTCGGTTGTTGTCGTAGTTTAATTGATTCATTAGGTTTCATTATGTCTAATTCAGTTCTGATTGGATGTTGTAACAACATGTTTGCTGGCGAAGAACCAGGTGCAGTGTGTGTGGAGTCCATAGATAACTTCGTAATACATTTCTTAATATAGTAAATTTATTTGTTTGTCTCATTTGTTGTTCTTTTAACATTAGCTCTTTGAAATTTGTAGGAAGTGCAGTTGAAAAATGGAATAAGGACAAGATGAAGTAGAAGACTGCAACAAATATTATGATTTACTAATCATATACATATTTATTTATTGATATTTCGACAATATACATTTGTCATCATCAGAATAAATACGTCTTTTCCAATAAGAACAACAAAAAAGAAGACTTATATGTGAAAGAAAAATAAAAGAATAGATAGAAATTAATTATCACAGCTATTTGTGTGACGATTAAACTAATTTAGAATGAGCGTGTGCGGGTGTGGGTGTCGATGTGAGTGTGGATCTTGTTTATGCGCTTGACCTATACCTACACTCACATACACCCGCATCCACATTCACACCCACTACAAGATAAAAAATCCAATAATAGAGAATATTATATTTTATTTTCTTTTTTCTAATTTAAAATTTGAAATCCATGTGGAATAAATAATAATAGTTATTCATTTTTATATTTATTAATAGTAAACCAATTATATACATTCTCATGTTATCAGCGTTTCTTATTTATGAATAATAAGAATAATCAACATCTGCATGATTCATCAAATGAATGATATACTTTGAGAAAGTTTTTTGTTTTTTAATTAATAATTGTGAAAATGGATTTGATAAGTCAAGTACATGTACATCATGACGATGTGCATCAACACAGTTTCAATGTCGAAATCAAAACTGTACACCAATGTCACATGTTTGTGATATTAGAAGAAAATTTTTAGTTTTTTCCTTTTATATTAGGTTTTGTTTTGAAGAGGAACGGATTATTAGAACGATAATTTAGATGAGAATTTATTTATAAGAAAAAAACAGAAAAATCTGCGTGAATACGCTAGATAAAGAAAACTGACCATACCGTTGTCTGCCAAAAACATTTCGTGGTAGTTCTAGTTCATATTTAGCGATGATTAGTTTCGTTTTCTTATTGAGAGGAGAAGTGTGCATGCTTGAGTAAACCTTTTGAAATTTGGATAAAACAAATGAAATAAGGATGCTTGAAACGTATCAAGATTAGATAGTTCGTTTGTTCGATTTATTTTTTTCAGTCTATTGTGAATGTAGTGAGAATGAATTTCGATGTTCGAATGATCGATGAATTTGACAAGAATAATTTGAAAATAATATTTAACAGAATTTGAAAATTTACATAAATCTTTTTTCTTAACTTTAGAGTATGTGATGATGATTATGATTGTAGTAGAGATGATATACTAACTTCTTAAATATTTTCGAATGGATATTTTAAATGTTCATCCGATCATTGTAGAAGTAATACAATTCATTGTGGCTAAGAATTGAATTTTTGATAGAAGTAGGATGTTTTATTGTTATTCTCTTTTTTCTTATTGAACTATAATAAAATAACTTCGACTTTAGATAATGATTACCTCGATTACAATTAATCAATAAAAACAAAGATAATATCAACATATACTATATAATCCCCTACATTTTAACCTATGTTTTGAGATATTAAATTTGTTTTCTGTTTATTTTTATGAAATATGATCTAAAAGGACTGCTAAGATGTATTAGTGGAAATTCAATGTCATTCACAGATCAAATATTCATTACTTCTCATCAACTTAATCTTTTTAGGATTCGGCCTATTCACAAAATTAGGCTCTTGTTTGCTAACGAGGATGTAAGTCTCGATTCGAGTAAAATGAATGTCTACTGTCATTCCCATATCCTTCATCCAGCGTAGCTTCTGTTTATACACTTAACAATGTATCGAAAACTCAAATAGTTTAGCGTCTTCTCGTGTCGTTCAGTATAAGGAAGTGTAACAAAACAAGTTTCCTATGTTTATATACAGCAACTACAT